ACAGTCCGCTATGCTGCCACAACAATCCAATGTTCTTTATTTAATTACTTACTTAGACATGCTTTCTGATAATCGAACTTTTATAAACATGGTTTAATATACGTGATTATTTACACGATAGAGCCACGCTGCAGGTATATTATAGTTGTAGTACGGACAGAATTGTTTTGTAACAAATTGTTTCATATGGTGATTGTAGAGAACAGGAGAACCTTTTTACTGGAAACGAGGCATTTCATCTTAGACCTCAAGGTTGATAACGCGTCTGCATTTTGATTCTTAATCGAGAATAAATGTAGACGTTTCTGGGCTATAGCATCCACTTACCATCAAGTATACGGTGTACACGTTTTCACCATTATTCCAGAAAAACAACTATTTTGATGTTGAAAAATACTTTAGATTTATGTGAAAAATATGAAAATAATTTTTAACACTACTTACTAAAATATAATTAATTTAATTAATCACGGTAAGGGTTGGAATGCTGTTATATTATTTGCATTGCAAAACATTTAAGTTTAATTTTCTCACGTCGGTTATTTTTTTCTAAAAGTTTTAATGGGGGCTTAATGTGGAGATCTCTTTGGGGTTTGATTCTGCGTATTTTTTCAACTTTTTTTCTCTTTTTTTGTTCCTTTTTTGTTCAGAATAACAGTCTCATAACACGGTTGTCGTTATAACACTTCTTGTTTTTAAGATAATGCAATTGAATTTATTGTGATTTTAATATGAGATTTTAATTAAGAATATAATTATTTATATTGATTCTCTATTGAGCTAAGGCAGATCAAGTGTGATTCGTTATAATTTTACGAGAAACCTTAGAGTAATGACATACATAAAAAAGCATTTAAACTTTTTCGTCTACAGCGAAATATTGGAAAATGTTTACATTAATTACATTCGTAAGTACTTCGAGAAATAAAACAGGAAAAGAGTAGCAGCATCAATCAGCAAAACACAAAATAATTAAACCTGCGGTCTACAACCCACCTTCATCGAAGTATTCTAGTTTCTTTGGGGGAGGCCTACGTTCAGCAGTGGGTTTAGATAAGTTGTGATGATAATGAATGAATAAATATTTGACAGCTAAAACAATCAGGTAACATTCAATTACAAAATAACTATGCCCTTTGATATTTTAAAATTTATGAGGGACATGTTAATTAGTTATTTATGATAATGACGCAATGATATAAATCTTTCATATAAATATCCGTTCATAAACTTTCTATGTCAACTCACATATTTACACTTACCGTGACGCTTCCTGCGTCCTAGTTTTTTAGGATGCTCTGTTCCCACACTCATTTTTTACCGTTTTTTTTCATGCAGATTAGAATTAACGGTAAAATCTCTCCCCTAAGGATAGTTTAATTTATTTCTTCAGATACACAAAAGGAGATGCGGTCGCTATTGTTTGAAAATGTTACGGTGATATCTTACAAAAAATCTATGACAGAGTAACATTTGATTTTTGCAAACTACACAATATATTAATTATACAATATATTAATTTGTATACTCTCCTGAAAGCAGCTTTCAGTAAGTTATCGATACCGTTACCGTACAGCCTACCATCATTCCACTGCTTAACATAGATGTCCCCAATAGTTTACATCATAGTAGGTATTTTGCATAGTTTTCAGGAATTTTTATCAGGAATTTTATCAGGAAGATAATGCTGCCCTATTTTAGTTTGCCTTCTCTTACGATACCTACGGGATTATATGGGGTAGTGGATATTCTTTAATTGTCACTAAGCTTTAAGATACTTTTTAATTTTTAATTTTTCTGAACTAATATAAACAATACAATGAATTAATGTTGTTTTAAAAAAACTAAATGCAAAGCAAGGAGTAAAGGTGAATAAATCAACTACGAAATTAATTTTTTCCGACAACCGTGTTACGATATTGTTTTCTTAAACAACGTAAGTTACAAAAAACAATTGAAAAAACAAGCAAAAATCAAACCCCAAAGAGGTCTTCAAATTAAACCTTCATTAAAAATTTGCAAAAAATAGCTAACGTGAGAAAATTAAACTTACTTTTTTATGCAAATGCAACCAGCACCGAGACCGTTAGAGAATTTGCATACTTTTTTTTGCTTTCTTAATACTCCATTAAGAATACCCTGACACCATATAATTACGAAAAAAAGAGACGCTACCGCGGCTGTATTTCATAAAGGTTCCTTTGCTATCGGTCAGGTAAAGTGCATAAGTGTTGTATATAACAATAGAACCCGGATTTCCTCTCTTTAATACAAGGGCCGACCTTTACCTCACGTGCAGATTTTGAATACAAATCCAACGATTTTCCATGGGCGTGATTGATTTTTAAGATACACAACTTCTTTATGATATCGATTATATTGATTCGGAGCGAACTACATCCGCTATACGATTGTCGTATTAAATTTGATATGTATAATAATGACCAATTAAAATAAAACTTTTTAATTTAAGTACTATTCCCAGGATAAAAAAGTGTCATGGTTTATTTGTTTGTAGTCATGTTTTGAACTAAAAATGATAATAATCATCCATTACAATAATAATATTGTTTAATGGCGGCGTAAGAATTGAGTAAGAGATGTCATAGTCCTCCTTGCTTTCAAAAATAGTGGTAAAATAGTTTCACGTAAGACACGTAAACGTGGTATAGCCATGCTGCAATGGGTCGCCTCAACTGGGGAAGGACCACGATCTCACAGAATACCAGCATAAAATAGCGCTTCCACGCTGCTGTGTTTCGTATGGTAGGTGTAGAGTACCGGAGGCTCATTTTACTGGAAACGACCCAACTAGCACGGTAGCGTTAAAACAACCTGTATATCGTTCGTATATGGGATCCATTCGAGTATCAAAGTGTTAAGAATACCTGTAGCAGCGGTGTTATAGAGTGCTCTAACTCACTTATAACCACGAAAGAGGCCCACGATTTTACAGGTAAAGGTTATAGAAAGCCTGTAGAGCAACGGTATAAAGGTGTTAAAGTACCTACATAAGAGTGTTTATTCATCCTCAGCTATTACTTTAACCGGTATTACTGTGGTTGTAGATGGGTTAGTTAACACTCTGGGACATAGAAAAACGTCGGCTAAGAATAATTTATCACTCAAAACTTCATTAGACCTATTAAAAATAGTTGTTTTACACTTTAACGCGTAATAGTTATATAAAATACTCTCAAGCTCAAGTCTCGTTTGAGAAATCCTATAAACGACATAATAAAATTGTGACAACGAAGAACAGCTTACCGAATGGCGAGACATAATTGACAGAGGAGTTATAATAAAGTGTTCAAGTTATTTTAGTTTGTGAAGTGAAAACAATCAGCCATTGTGATTTTACGGTAAGTGTATACTATGTTTTCCATCTCAATTTTAACGCGCTCAGGATTTGTTAGAGATTTCAAATAAAAGTTATGAAGAATAAAACAGACACCCCAAATTTGTATCATATTTATTCTTGCATCCTGGCCAGTGGCATGTTAAATTAAGTGGCATCAATGGAATAACAAAATTAACAAAAATAATGAAGTATTTTGTTGTCAAATATTGAATAATCCAGTCATCAATTTATAGGTTAGTTTACCAAAACAATGGCGAACTTACTTAAAGCTTTAGGTCTTCACTTAAGTCATCTATTACACACTTTGAGATACAACATCTTTACTCAAGAATATTGTGCAGTCTTTAGTATACTTAACAGTGCAATAATAGACTTGAATAAATATACTTACTATAGCCAAGGCAATACAACCGGCTAAACATTTTACGAACTGGATGGATTAGGGTTCTTCAACGAAATAATCAAAACCTGCAAGTATTAAAAAAAATCACAAAAAAAACAATGTTTTGGTATTACTTAAACCGAGTAAATGATTTATATGGTTTGTAAGGTGTCTTTTTATTAGTTCGATTGTAGTATTATACTACACATCATAACAAACCACTTTTCCTAAGAAACATTTATTTTTAAGGATTGTCCAGGTTTCTATAACTTTTACTCATTACAATCGTAATATCTCCTCAGTTCCTTACTCGCAAAATAAGTCAGTCACAGTCACTCAGTCTTACACAGTCGACGAGTGAAAACGGACATCAATGCGTCAGCGGCTCGAGCAGTGTCGTCTGATCATCTCACTTTGATACCCGAAAATAAAACGCGTACAAGGTCAGTCATTCAATAACATTCATTATTTATCTTAACTTAATGTAACATAGAATGTTAGACTATAGGTAGATAGTGTAAGTTGGGACTTGTGCCGAAAGATTTGTTTATTTATATAATATTGTGTTGAAATAGGTACGTGGAAGTAGGTAGACCTTGTTTCTATGTAGGTATAGATATCTACCATATTGTTTAGCTCATCTTTATTTTCGCCCCTATGACGTGGTACTATTATGTACAAAAACACTATTGGGACAACTTTTTTGTTTTAACTACCCGCGACTTCATCCATATGGCAAATGTGACTTCGGTAAATCCAGTAATACCTAATAGTTTTTAAGTTTCTTAAGCACAAACTAGTAAAAAGTGCTAGTGCAAGTGTTTCTTAAGGGTTGCATATACAACTACGTACAATGTTATGATTTTTTTAATCGCCGATTCAATGTCACTTGTAGTTTCGTAACTATGAAAATTGAAATTATGTAATTGTTTTTAATTATTTTTTATATATGAACGTTCTTATTGGCCACAAATGCTTGCTTTTAGAGCCGCAAACGACATGATCTATGTTTATCAGGTTGTAACGAAATATCTAAGGGATACGTGTGGAGGTGGAGGATAAATTAAAGTTAACAACTTTCACCAAAATGTGGGTCAAAATAAAAAAATAATAATTGGCACGCTATGTAAATTGATGAAGAAAGATTTTCTCTATTGGGACAATTTGTTATACCTTGAGTAATTACGTATATACGTGTTACGTATGTTTTCCGTTGTCTGAATTTGTGTACTAAGTTGTTATTATTATTGTTTCAGCATGCCGTTCAAAGTTGTTCAAACCTTGGAGGGAAAGAAATATAAATTATTTACTATTCCATCGGGTTGGGAATCTAACAATATTCTCAGATATCCAAATAAATGCATATCAAAGTATTTAAAAGATGAAAATTCAACACCAACGCTAGACTGGGACGTAATAAAATGTAAAGTAAAACGGACCGATGTATTAAGCTACGAAAACGGAGAAAAGCTTGTATCTGAAATGCTGAAGCACAGTGATACGGAGGACGATGTCGATAATTATACGCAGCGGCGACGTTCACATAACAAATCTTTAAATCTGAATCCAATAGCACAAGATATGGTAAGAACTACATATTAAATGAAGGTTATGACTTTAGTAGCCTATAAAGAATGAATTAATGTTTTTTAAACATTTAGTCTATTTATTTTTAAACTCTTTGTCAAGTCTTGTTTAATAAAATTTTACCGGCTCTTTTTTGTTTCAGATGGGCAATGTTGTTTTGACTAACCGTAACACAGACATAGCGTCATCGTCCGCTGACTTGCCGATTGAATTAAACTATAACTTAGTTTATACCGAGGATATTCAAGCAAATTCAACAAATACATCTCAAGTCTTTTCAAATGATACTACACCTTTAGTACAGGATTCAGTAAGCTTTGACATCAGTAAAATGTTTGAGAACCAAAAACAAATATTAGATAACCAAGCAACTATTCTAAGCCAAATTTATCAAAATCGACAGCAGCAACTGGATAATAACTCGGCAATTATCGCCCAGATTCAGTCTCTAAAAAATGTGCAAAATAGTTTCATTCAAAAGGTGTCTGCTTTGTCTGTGCAAATGGAAGACGCAGTATTTCAAATAACTTCATCGTATAATCAAGACGTGCAAACTTTAAATAGCAGCAAAGGCCATGTTGAAAATATTCCAATATATGAAAAGCCAGTTGACAGCGCCCAGGAGTTAGATGAACTCGAAAATCAGTTATCGGACCCAAACAATAGAGACTGTTTGAAAAATAGATATTCTATACTTTGTTCTGGAGGTAAAGCTATAGACTGTGCTTATATGCTTGTTGATGTTATGTTTACAAGGAAATTTATTTGTGAGTGCTCATGGAGTGGGGGCAGCAGAGGTGAAGATTTGAAAATTCCTTTAAAAGGTTATAAACATGTCTTGTCTTTTTTCTGGAATATGGTGCACTATTGGGATCAGGAATATTCTTTAAAAGATAATGAATTATTTTTCAAAACGATTTTGAAAAATGCCAAAAAAAGAAAAATTGCAAAACTTGAAAGAGCTTCAACATCAAGGCAACGTTCGAAACCCAAAAATAATTTGAAACGTATGAAGTTTTCAGAAGAAAATGAGACAAATGTAACTTCTGATAACGGTGAAAGTGAGAATGAGATAAACGAAGAAGAAAACACGATAAATAAGAAGAAAAGAAATGATTCAGTAGAAGAACACACAAAGGAAAATAAAGAAGGCGATGTTATAAAAAATATCTCAAAAGACATCGCCAAATATAATAGTAACGTTATAATTGGAAAGGAGACAAGTGTCTGAAATTGAAGAAAAGGAATCGTTACATTAAGCAATTATAAATATTTATTATATATTATACTATTTCGTTTGATATTCTGAAAACTATGTAAAGATTAAAGCTATTAGAGTATTATTTTTATCTATTTTTATTTTGTCATATGTAAGGCTATAATTGGAAATCGAGACTGATTGAAATAATTACTAGACATTACCGAATTTTTAAAAATATTTTTGTAGGTTAATATTTATTATGTAGATCAAGTTAGTAGATATACAATATGTAACTAAAACCCTATCAGGATCATTATTCAAACGTATAGAAATAACTTTTTTGTAAAAACTCGAACAATATTTTTTATTTTAATTAAAAAAAATTGTATGCGAATTGTATGTGGTTTTATTACCTCTGCATTATCGGTGGAGTAAGAGGATTGTCAAATACCTCGCTTTACTAAGCTTTAGCATCGGCTAGTGTCAGTAAGAGGCAATAAAACGACATAAAATAAAATATTTTTTTAATAAAATTTAAAAACGAGTTATTTCTATAGGTTTAAATACTGATCCTGATAACATACTTAACGGGAACCACAGGGTTTTTGTTACGTTGTATATACCTATAGGTGAAAAATATACCTACTAATACGTAAGGCTGTATTATCTCAAAACAATTACTTTGTTAAGTACAACATAATATGTTAAATTGTATTAGTTACCATAGTTAGTTTAGGTATACTTATTTGTTTTTTTATAGCAATCTAAGCTAAAGAAAGCATTTTTAATATTATGATGGATAAATAATATTCTCTTCATTGATTTTTTTATAATTCACATACAGAGTATTTATTTCAGAAAATATTGTGAAAGCAAACATATATTTTGTTTCCATATTTGTACAACAATCTTTTCTTAAATTTTTACTGTTTTAATAAAGAAATTTTCAAATTAAAGTTTGCTTATCATTTGAGTACCTACAGCGTATGTAATAATGGTAGAAAGTATATTATATCTTTATGACTAATACAAACTAATTTACATTTGATTTCATTTGGATTTATTACTATAACATCATCAGAGACAACATAAGGTTCTTTTACTTTATACATACGATGACTTAATCGGTAAGTCAAATATGATATATTTGTTCAAAATTTTTTTACCACTTATGGTAACCTCTTTTTCACTACCAGGGGACAAGTCTTTTAATTCAAATATATCATCATTGTGAGTCATAAAATATTTATCTTCTGGCTTTAAAGAGAGGACAAAGTTTTTGAAGTGAATTTTACGATTACTTTTACTAGTTATCAAGTAGGGTACATTATTCGTGGTTTTTGCTGTCATCAAAAGATTAATTGTACTTTTCTCACAAATTCTCTTAGCAACTTGTGCCAGAGGTTTGTCACCCTGTCTTAACATTCTCTTGATTAAATATAATTGATTCTCAAATGGATACGCATCGAAGTTGTGAAGAGGTCCAAATTTTTGAACTTCGTCCACAATATGGAGTAAATTATGCACATTACTGGTGATATAATGAGAACCATAGAAATATTTATACTGATCTACAAAATGTTTCAGCATTTCTCTGGCAAGTGGTAGTAAAGTTGTGTAACATTTATTGGAACATATCGTAATAGAGCAAAATATACTCAAAAAAGTGTTCAACAACATCAACACGAAGGATATCAGACAATATGATAACGCTTAAATAATAAAAAAAAATTCTAAATTCACTTGCTTTCCAATAAGCGAGACAATCTATACTTCTTACTGCCCGGTGGATCTCAGACGGTAATTTACAGTTTTTTAAAAATGCCTCTAGGTTTTCAATATCTCGCGCACACAGCTTAGTCATATATGTTCCAAAATTGCCATCTCGCCACCCAATAAGCAGCCTCTTCATTATACCCAGATCTATGAGGTGCAAAGAATCTGCTACTGGAAAATCTTCTACCATATCAATTGGCAATTGTAGTAAAGGAGAATCTATTTTATGATGACCTCCGTAAAGTTTAGCTCTGAAATTTTCATCTGTTCTTGGAGAATCTTCCTTGGTAGAGAAGACTACAGTATGAGATGTATGCAAATATTCTCCAACCGTCGTACACTTTAAACATCCATGTCTTCCGTTAAAATTACATACACCTGAAAAAAGTATGTCACACATTTAGCCAATACAAATAACTTAGAAAATTTGAAAAGATCGCCTTGAAATCTTAGCCTAACTAATTTAGTCAGTACATACGAGCGTTAAAGCAATGATTAAAGACTGAATACAGAACATCACAAAATTTAAATGAAAATTATTCATAAAATAATAATAATAATTCGTAAAATTGACTATACATAGTAATTTAGTTCGTCTATCACGATTATAACAATAATGTTAAAGTTTCAATACGGCCATAAATTAAAAATATTTACCTTTAAGGAATGCCCTTGCTGGAGAATCACAAACAAAACATTTGATTTTTATAGAAACAAGTTTCTCATCTATAATTATTCCATTACTAAGTAATGATTTCATCTCAGTTACAAAATCTTCTAAATATTCTTCTAATATTTTTGGTTTGCCTGTACCATAGTATATTCCAATTGTGAATACATTCCCCTCTGCATTGGCTAATATTGGCCAAAACTCCTTTTTGGCACTCTTAAATATTGGCAGACCGTCAAAATTAAAGATTAAATGAATGCTATTTGGAATGGGCGTGAAATCCTTAAGTAATTTCATTAACGGTTCAGTTATACCATGATGCCAATATTGTCCTCCTTCTATATTTTTAATACAAATTTCTTTTTTGAGTACGCAAAACAGTGCGTGGATCTTTCGGAAGTAATAATGTAGTACTAACGTAGCCTTCATTCAAAATCAACAGAAGCTGTTTTAAAGCAGTTTGGGTAATATTGTTTCCTACGGACCACGTTTTTAATTGTTTAGTTAGTGCAGTAATTTTTTTCAATATCACTAAATTTTTCTTCCTCTTCTTCTTCATCTTCTGACGCACTAAGTGGTATGGAATCGAAAAAATTGTTATTTACTTGTGCTTTTTCTTGTTCTTGTTCTACGGAACCCTGCTGTGCCTCAACTCGAACTTGACCAAAATTACTCGTATTATGGCTATTTATATATTCTCTTTGTAACGAATCTTCTTTATTTTCCGTAATAACTGGAATACCAGAATCTAATCGGATATCATCATAACTAAGTGATTTGTTTGTGTCATTCGTACCATTATTAAGTGAATCCAAAAAAATACGGCATTCCTGCATAATTCTTTTTTTCACTGCGCCTGTTTTCTTTTGTTTACTCCATCTTTGTAATCGTTTCATTTTAATGTAACTTAATAATAATACTTGGTAGAAAACTTTCTTCAGTTCGTAATAAGGTTGTTTATAACAAAAATTATAACAAATCGCAACTTTAGAAAGACTGCTTTTGAGTATTAATATCCATACTTGTCTTGTATAACACCATTACTTTTACAATGTATTTAAAGTGTATATGCCAAACACAATAAGCATTAGTAAAATTAAAATTATAGCTTAAAACTACATAAATGAGTTGTTCAACACTTTTAGTATCTTGTGTTAGTACACTCTTGACAAACTCTATTTTACAACCCATGTCTGCACCTATAGTCAATATAATACCTAAAGGCATATAAGACACTTCACGGCAACAACTAAACAACAATAAGTGTTAACGAGAGTCAGCGAGCACTGTTGTATAGATTTAGGAGCTACAAACAGGTCAAAGCTACAACTTCTTAACTATACTTGCTGTGATTAGCACTATTCTAACTCTTAAAGCAACCTAACATCGTTCATTAAAGTTCTAGAACCACTGTTGGAGCTAAATTTATCTTTTAACTCTTATATATGTCTTTTAGTTAGAACTGAGATAATTATTACTCAGTTAAACAGATTAAAGTTATATTAAAACCTGTAACTGACACCAAAATGTTAGTTGGGGAGGCATTCGATCTTAGTCGTGAGGGTGAGAACGCATCTGCATTTTGATTGGCAGTCGAGGATAGATGTAGATGTCTATGGGCCACAACAACCAATTACCATCAGATGGACTGTGTGCTCGTTTGTCACTCTTATCCTTTAAAAATAAAATATTTAAAACCGTGTTTAATCTGGTTCTGCGGTTGTCAATCTACTCTTTCTGATAGGTACTCTTCAGACCGGTGCAGGCAGGCACACGGGCTCTTAGGTAGATAAGAAATTCTAGCAATGAGTGTCAAATGGTATAGGTACTTTATTAATTTAAATAGAAATGACTAATATATTACATAGTTAATAGCGGTATCTGTTCGTTTTGGATATCTCGTTCATTGAGGTAAGAAACATGTGGAAAACCAAAGAGATTTTGCCCTTATTTAGAAAAAAAACATGTATATCTTATATGATATTCTATGTGATTATTTAAGAACGATTGAGTATAATTTTCTAAACATACCAACTATTATTTTTATAAGAATATCATGTACTATATATAATATACTGCTTTAAATGTTAGGCGGATATTAAAATAAAAAATAAAAAAGCGCCATAAATTGCACAGATTATGCAACAGCTTGGTACACGTTTTCTTGCTGGTTTTACAGCCATAAATTTTATTTCACTTCAAGGTGGTCTGACAAATTTGCGGTTGCTACTATGGTCCGCCACTTTTTCGCTATTAAGAATATTTGTATTGGCTTTTTATTTGATTAACAGCAGTATGCTTAAACATGGAAAGTGTTTTCTTTAGACTGTGATAAGTTGGTGTTACCCATTGTCAGGGTATTGAAAGTTTCTTAACGAGTCCGTTCAAAATGGGCAAAAAAGAACAATCGATTTGTGACAAATTCATGTTGGGTTGTTCGCCCGTTTGGACATCGATCCTTTTTTTTCGTTGGCTTCCTACATTTTTTACCTATGTATAATTATTTTTCGAAAACAGATAAGTTTGTTGTTGTGTTTTGACTGGTCAAACAATGTAACAGTAGGATCTTCTTGGTAAAATTTAT